TCAGAGGAGGAAATAAAAGTCTACGATAGTAGCCTTGACTGGGTCAAGGTCATGTCACAAACGCCACATGCATTACAAGTTAATGTGAAGCTGAAACACGCAAAGGCTGCACAAATCCACAGAGACGGCTTACAATTACGGCCGCTACGTAAACGGCACAAACGGCAATGGTTTTGTTGTTACCCCGTTTATATGCAATATTAAGTGGGCACTTGTTTTATGTTATAGGAACATCTTACACTGCCTGAACAAGATGACCTAACCGTATGCACCTCTAATGACTTCCCGCTTGCACGGCTTCTGGCGGATGCTTGTTTCAGGAGGCAGCCGGTCGATGTCGTTGCCGCGTGGAAGTGTTTAGATGTAACTGACGTCCGAAACAAAGATGTTATAAACATACCCTAGGTCAGCTGCAATGGACAATCGCAGAATACTGTGATTGTATATGTATGTGGGGGTTTTATGCCTTGATTTGAGAGTACCAAAGGTTCTGCTCCTTCTTGGAGGTGTTCACGGTAAGTGAAGATATTCTTACTGTTGTGTTCGTTACAATGATCGTGCACCATTACTGTGTCCTGATGAGCTTCACTGGTCCCCAATGAATACAAAAAGCTATTATCGTTGTGCAGCGGGAATTAACGAAATCACCAGTGACGGTCGGGGACGCCTCCTTCTGTTCGCCTATGGCATCATGTGGCGGTATTCATGCATATTCAGGTCGATGCAAAGCCAGCTAACGAAGGCGAACAACGTACGTGATGGGCCTGCAGGCTCGCAAGCCCGTTCTTTTACTGCTTACCTGGGTTTATATTTCCCTGTGGGTGGCTGATAAAATGTAAATGCTTATAATGTACTCTGACATATGAATAGGAGGTGAAACCTTGGTTTTCTGTAACCATGGTGTAATACCATTGGTGCAGCCCTCCCCGACGGCGCGTCATCCAGTCTTTACCCGCCTATAGCAGGCTCTTATAGTCAAACCCTTCACTGGACGCACGATTGCAGGCAGACTGCAGAGCCAGGATTTACCAGTACCCTTTTTCCAATGTACCCTCATGTACTTTCCGTTCAGGAGTTCCTTTGGCTAGCTATACAATGCATGATAAACAAATTTACAAAGACAGCAATGAGCGAGTTTCCTGCTCTATGAGTTCCAGAATATATATACTTAAAACGTTGCAATGCTGGGTCTTTTAGATTATGCCTCTCTCTCTCTCTCTCTCTCTCTCTCTCTCTCCTCTCTCTCTCTCTCTCTCTCTCTCTCTCTCTCTCTCTCTCTCTCTCCCTCTCTCTCTCTCTCTCTCTCTCTCTCTCTCTCTCTCCTCTCTCTCTCTCTCTCTCTCTCTCTCTCCTCTTTGACTACTTTCAGTGGTTCCACAATTTCTGAGTTAACCTTGGCGTATGAGGGCATGGACCTTCACAGTCTGGAGGAAACCTTCGACAGCAACGGACAGACGATATACCGGGAGGAGGAATGAAGATGTGAGGCGGGGCTCTAGGAAGGTACATGCCAAAGGTGCCCATGTCAAACATTTTGATGAAAATCGTCTGAAGTTGTCGATGTGACCTTGTCTCGTGACCTGTACTGCACAAATGTCAATGTATGTGTCACATTACTGGCGTGTTTGGGTTTTGTTTTGTTTTGATTTTTTCTTGTTTTTGTGTGTATTTGGTGAGGCAAAGGAAATCAGTTTGGCGATGGACATGACGGACTCTATCGTTGCTTAAAATATAACAAGGGGATATAACATAGTTACAGGCGGCATTGGGCCATAGCAAAAGCTGTGAGTTATGGCAGATTGTGTGAGTGTGTCGTCTGGTTTCGAAGACTTGAAGGTATGTTGCCATTTCATTACTAAACATATAAACAGAAGCGACAAAACCCTTTCCACATCCATAAAGAATCTCTGCCAAAAGCAGAGTCGATTATACAGTTGTCACTGTATCATAAGCGGAGTGTTTGTTTCAGCAGTATTACGGCTGTATGATGGTGTTTGAAAACCGTGGGATCCCGAGGCCGGATGATCCGGGACGGGGCATGTGTTTGTGGATCGCTATGAATGAGTATTGATGCGGGTGTCCGCTAAAGGGTGAGCGTATCCTGCATCGCCGGTGGAACCCGTCATAGGCTTGTATGCTAGGAATCTTGTCATTTGTTCACCTGAGGAAATGCTGCGAGAGACATTATGGTGTAAAGTCAAGGTGGGGTGCTTCGGACATGAATTTTTATCACTGGGCTTTATCTTGTTGTTTGGAGCCTGGCCGGAGGACGTCGTCGGTGGTTGTCTCGGCACGTGGCGATGTTCCGGGGCTGCTGTCGCATTTCGGCAACAGTGTGGGTCGTTGGTATCGTACACACGGATTCCAGAGCGCAATGTTGGATCAGGGCGGTCCGCTCTTATTGTGTCGCCCCAAACCTGGTAGCAATAGCCCAGATCTACGGGACCCACAACACCCCCACAGCATACACGTCATTTTATCTGTCAAGCTGTCTCTAGACTTTAAAATGCCGTTGAACTTGTGACTGCAAGTTAGTGTCCCTTTCCTGTTGTGGACCGATCCTCCTGGTGTTAATGAACGGATTTGCTGGCCGGATAGCCGTCATAGAGCTGGAATATTGCTGACTGTGGCGTTACCCAACCGACAGAATACCTCCATAAACCTGGAAGGACGCTTACACCGGTATCCAAGTAAACCTGAGCAGCCAATATGACCAGACAAAACATTGATTACATACTAATTACAGATTGCATGTACCTAAAATCCTTATTTGTAGGCGATTCTCCTTCTACATTATGTTTCCAGCAATCATGCTACTCAGAGAATATCCTCGTGTTTGGATTAATTGAATATATGTCTTAAAGCTGTATGGTGTCTTAGGTTTGATCACAGATGACAAAACTCAAATGGGTTAAAAGCAATATCTTGATTGAAATTTATTCAAATAACATTCATTGTAACATGTAAAAATATGTATAAGTATTTACAATGGAAGTAAATGTGTTAGGGGGCAGTGTCGTGTTACAGGGTCCTTGAAGTGTCACTATTAGTAGCCATCTCCTCACTGAGGCCGTAAAAACGTTTGCATTTGGTACATAACTATTTATAAAGACAGGGTTACAATATAATTAAACATGACATATTTGCCCTTAGACCGTTCATATGTAGGCCGTCATCTACAGAAACACTATGACTGGGCCCATGTCTTCTTCATTAATTTCGTTGTAGATATGTTTGATTTCCGTGATGCGGCTTCCTTGGAAGAAGGCTACTGTCTTCCGTGCTCGTCCTGCAATAAACAATCGATTATCACAATTTGTATTATTTAAGTCAAAACTAATGGTTCTGTTAACGCCTCACCCAGCGGCAATCAACTCTATGGCGGCGTGCGGGGATATATTCAACCCCAAACCTCAAGCGTGTTCTGAAGCGAGGTTTCCATGAGTTATAAATGCCTACTTTAATGAGTGCGTTAATGCTTGACTTGATGGCGTCACAGAACGTGCTTGTGAAATCCTGTTCAGAAGAACAAAGACAGTTTAAGCAGTAATTCCCTGTAACATTCCTTATTCCTGTTTATACACAAATGCGCACTTCGACAGGACCAGCTATCAAGGTATTCACAGAGAATGTAAAAGATATAAAATGGCAAAATATCATTTACCTGTTGACACATAGCTTGTCTGTGAAGTACTCATGTTTGTACCCTTATGGTCCACTCGATAACCGCATTTTCGGTGCGTATAAGTGCATGTATTGCCAACCTTCAACGTGGGCCCGGCTAGCGGCGGATGTGGTTGGACACCAGGAGAGCCAGGAAGAGACGCCGCACAGCCTGTTGGGAGGTCCGATGTTGATGCCGTTCACTTGGTTCTGATGAGAGAATCATGTGAACGTGAATGGGCGGTTTAGATCGGTTGAGTTGGGGTTGACGGGTGGATGTGTTGGTGGGTGGGTCGATCTCTTGTTGTGGGTTTAACGGGTTGGTTATGTGTTGGTGGGTTGGATTAAGGATCTGTTTTGGGTTGGCAGTTGGATTATTACGTTTGATTGGTGGGAGGGATCGATCTCGGTGAATTAGCGGGGTTGGCTGTGGTGAATTGTGTTGCTGAAGTCGTTTTGGTGCGTCTTGGTTGAGTTCGGCGGTATATGTTGGTGGAGTGGAGTTAGGTCGATCTGTTCATTGTAGAGTTAGCATTGGATGTGCTGGTGAGATTCAATTGAATGTAGTAAAACATTCCGACTATGGAAACCATAAGTTAAGTCTATATGGTAAAGATTTGTATTAACAATGTGTTTTGCAGTACCTGTATCACATGTCGGCGCATTAAGACAATAGTCCATGGAGCAGTTGCTGGTACAGGAACGTTCACATGCACCTTCACTGACGTCACATCCGTTGACGCACGCGCCAGTCTTCTGATCACAGATCCCGTCACGACAAACCTCACAGCTGTTATTACAAAGCTCCCCAAAATACCCAGGTCTACATCCGTCCACACAGGTACCGTTGTGTGGGCCACAGGGTTAGTTCTTGCAGCGGCTTACAGTCTTACACGGCTCACAGTCCCTGCCAGAAATAGCCAGATCTACATCCATCCACACAGTCACCTACAGCATCACAGCGTCCACCACGACAACCTGCACTGCATGGAAAGAGGCACCGTAGACCATACCAGCCGTCTACACACAGCCATGGAGGCACTCGCCACTCTCCATGTGACACTCAGATGTACAGAACACCGAGGCACTGGCGCCATAGGACAGACATCTGATTGTGCGGATTGGTGCTGGATACAAACTTACAGTGTTGACTGCACTACATCAGGCAGTAGGCCTTAGTTAATTCATAGTAACTCTTACATTTAATTTTGCAGTTTATTCCATCGTAACCATGGATACAACCGTCAGTACATTTCCCCACGCCTGTCCTAGAAGTCGTCTTACATACATCATTCTTGCAGGCTTTGTTACATTTTGTTTGACAGAACAGGTCAAGGAATACCCAGTGTTACATTCTGTTTGTACAATGTCCTCTCTTGTCGCAGTCTGAACACTCCTGGCGGTCCCTGCACACTGCCGCTGTAAAGTAGTCAAATAGACACGTTAACGATTGATCTCGTCATAGTCCGTGATTCCTTCCATGTATGTTACATAGCAAGACAGCCACAACTATCAGTACTATACACCTCCTTGTCACACTGCCGCTGTAAAGTAGTCAAATAGACACGTTAACCATTGATCTCGTCATAGTCCGTGATTCCTTCCATGTATGTTACATAGCAAGACATACAACTATCAGTACTATACACCTCCTTGTCACACTGCCGCTGTAATGTAGTCAAATAGACACGTTAACCATTGATCTCGTCATAGTCCGTGATTCCTTCCATGTATGTTACATAGCAAGACATACAACTATCAGTACTATACACCTCCTTGTCACTCTGCCGCTGTAAAGTAGTCAAATAGACACGTTAACCATTGATCTGGTCATAGTCCGTGATTCCTTCCATGTATGTTACATAGCAAGACATACAACTATCAGTACTATACGCTACCTGCACTACTGGTGGGTACTTGACATCCGCGAATGAAAACTGAATTTGAAAAATATTGAATTGAAAAGCTAATTTCCCCTTTCATGGGATCAATTAGTCTTACGATGAAGCGTCGTGTAAGATACCATGTGATATTCCTCAACTTTTAAACATGGTCTGTGATTAAATGTTAAAATGTTTTCGCTAAACATATTTAGTTTCATTTACAATGCCACACCATGCATCACGTAAGGGTATAACTGAAGCTTTTGAACGACCTCATATGTGTACTGTAGATTAAACTAGACCAAATAAAGAATTACATTATAGATTACACATTGGCAAATATTTCCGTATTATCAGCCATTGGTTTGATTGTTTGTAATGACACAGGAAGATTATCATTCCTCGAGCAGATTAAGACTTAACGCTGATTACAAACATGTCCGGTTTAGTAATGGCAGTTAAATTGTTCACCATGAAAGTAAAATATGCCGAAAATGTTATATTGCATTGTCATATGTTTTCGGTCAAACATACAGTTAGAGTAAAAGTTCTTACATGAAAAACACATATGAGAGTTTCGTGGACATTATTAATCAGACCTCATTCTAATATCATTTGGAGGGAAATGGTCAGGTAAAAATAATATAAAATAGAAGTGTGTAGAATTCAATATTGTCAAATACGTGGTTCGATATATTTATGACAGGTTTATCAATGTTATCCAAAATAATGTCTCCAAGTTCAATGTATATTGATAATTCCTTTCGTTCAAAATGTCTCCGGAATTATATTCAGCGCTAGTGTGTTGGGTGAAATGGAGTTGAGTGAAGGGAGATATGACGTAAAGCTGTAAAGGCGACTGAGACTGTAGATACAAGCAGTGGCACAGGTTACAGCATAGGCTGTATGGTAAAGCAGTTGTGTAGCAATTCTCTGTCTATTGTTATGAGACAGTGTTATGCGTTGTTCAACAGTACTTCTATTAGGTGCCTGACTCTGAGGGTGTGGGTTCGAATCCCGGATGGGACCCAACCCAAAAAGTGCTAGAATCTGTACTTTACTGAGAAAGTGTAATCCCAAATATAACATATGTTACACTTGTCCTAGTTATTGGTTTGGTTACTGTAACTGAGAGGTTAATATTACCATCATTGTCCTATTGCTACAATCAATGTTCCTGTATTATATTATCCAATCATATGTCAGGGTTTAACAGTTTTTAGTAAGCCGGTAAGCGAAATGTCAAACCAGACATACGATGAAGTTCCTGTTGAAGCCTGTGAAATGCCCTCAGCCGGCTTGTTATGTATAAACGGCAATGACAACGTTGTGAAGACATTGTTTGATTGTTTTGACCATATTTCCCAAACATTATCCATGGACAGACTGCCTTTATTGAGAGATGCACGGTACATAGATACGTTGGTTATTTCAGATAAATGAGTACTTCCGTATAATGTGATGCCCGATGTCTGCTTTCGGATAGTTTTTTATGATCATCGACTTTCTGTTTATCAAGCGAAATATGACCTCTTCCGGGTGGGGGATTTCATTTCTTACATTATGCGCATAGAAACAACTGTTACAATTGGTATGTGAGAGAGAAATACAGAAATAAAACTGTGTTCGGCGATAGACGCCTCTCCGACTGGGTGATGGCAAGCATCTCGGGGACAGGGAGTTTGCAGATTTCTAAATGTTATCACGATTGCAGAGATTTGTTATTGCATAATTGACTATTGCATAAATATATTTTTAAGTATACATCAAATACAACTATTCTCTAAGTAGTCATAATTAGAGAGTTACAGTTGTGAGTGTCTAACAAGCTATTGTAGGATTATAAATCAATCATGAGAAGGTTGTTGAGTTAATTTAAGTATTTTCCTGAGAAAATTTGAAGCCTTGTGTCTTGATGATATAATCGTGGACATATTGAACTATTCAACTATGCCACTGCATAATGTTGACACCGTTCTGCTGTAGGAAGTCCCGTGTAGCTCTGGCAGTATGGGCCCGGGCGTTATCATGCTGGAAAATGTTGTTCCGGTGACGTGCGAAATGTGGTGTGACGTGGGGTCTGAGAGCTTGGTCGATGTAGCGTACTGCTGTGATGCCGCCACCTCTCCCTCTACCAAGGTTCCGGAACAACACAGGACCCACTCTCTGGTTCAGGCCTATTCCACCCTATACCATGATGCTTGCACCTCCCCATGTGTCTCTTTCCATAACACATTGGTGTGAGTCACGCTGGCGACGTTGTCGCCATATTCTTGTTCTGCCATCTGCAGTTGATACGCAGTACCGACTCTCATCCACAGAACAGTTCTCCATTGCCTGTATCACCAGTTTTGGCGTTGTAGGGCAAACAGTAGACGTTCACGCCGATGACGAGGGATTGGGATAGGTCCCCGGTAAGGTCTACGGCAATGGATGTTCCCGCTGTTACGACGTCGGCGTACTGTACGAGTACTGACTGGTCTTCAGTGTGTTCCCACTATCTGGCATGCTGTTTCGGATGCCTGCAAGAAGGGATTCTGCACATGCAGTAGTATATTCAGTGGGGGTACGAGATCACTTTTGCCAAAGGCCTCTGTAAAGCTTTATTTCATAGATAAAGCCTTTATCAGGACCTGATCTCTCTCCCCCCCCAAGTCCCCAAGTGTATATACCACTTCTGAATCCCCCCAACCAACTTCCTGGTCACTATGGCCTTGAATCGCTACTTGGGTGGCAATATGGTGCCGTGAGGTATGATCAATAATTCCTCTCTGACGAACCCCCTCAGCGGCCCGTCTTTCAAGTAGTACAAGTTCGGTTCGTCGGCTTTCATGTCCACTTTATCTATGCTGTAAGTCTTTACCGACCATGTCGGGTCGGTGGCCCGTTTCCGAGTGTCTCCTTCGTGTTTCCCCAGCTGGTAGAGGTACCTCACGAGAACCCGGTCGGGTATATGTTTCTCCTTCCCACGCGATGGTGCAGCCGATTCGGCCGTCACTGATTTCAGTTTGATAGCGTCGGCCGGTTTCTTGGTAGATAGCCGACACCAATTGGGGTAGCCGCGCTACCCATTCCGTCGATCGTCTCCCCCGGGTTGGCCATCTCTCTCGCATACTGGTGCCCGAATAAGCGCTCGGCAAAAGTCCGATTGAATCTCTCGACTATGGCTTGGCTGCGATGAGCTCCGGTCGCGCCACGCCTGACTTGGACGCCATGCTTGGCTAGCAGTTGTGAAACTGCACCCATGAACTCCCGTCCGGGATCAACTTGCAGCTCTGTGGGCCATGTCAGGGGACTGCGCTTGTATATGCGCTCGAACCCGCGGGCTACCTGGACCGATTAAGGGTTCAGCTTCTTTGTAGCGGCTGGCCACGTCAACGACGGTTAGGGCATACTTGTACCTCTTGCCGTGGGGTAGGAACAAGATCGGCCAGGTGGACGCTATTGGGCTTTGGCACAACGAACTTTCTTCTAGGCATGTAGTGTGGTGCCGGAAGGTAGATTGCCACAGGGCTTGTTTCCCCAACCACGCTTTCCCCAACCACTCTCGCCATTTTGGCTAGTGACCATGTCGAACTCCAGAGAGATGTTGTCGATGGTGTGTAACTGGCCTCATCACCGTTCGGCATACGCACGACTTTGCTGTAGTCGTTGAACGTGAGCTCGTATTCAAGTCTGGCCTGGTAAAACGGTGCATGCCCAGTGAGGAACTCAAAGTCGAGCAGCACGCAGAGCCTGTTCCTGTACGCTTCGGCAACTGCCTTTTCACCCGCGGGGATCTTGTCAAGCTTGTCTGCCGTGAAGCCATACCCAACGCGCAACCGAGTTGACTTAATAATAATCATAATAATAATAATGGCACTTATATTGCGCTATATCCACGCCAATAAGGTATGCTCAAAGCGCATTGCCTCAAACGATGGAAACAGAGGCAGTTGAGTTCTCCACAGTGGTATGAGTTATGGTATAGTGCTTGAAAAGGTAGGATTTAAGACTGGATTTAAAAGTTTCAAGAGATGGAATCAACTTCAGTGATTTGGGTAGAGAGTAGCGGCTGAGACAGAAAAGGATCTGGAGCCGAAAGTTTTAAGTTTGGTGACAGGCACCCGAAGGAGCTGTTGTTGACTAGAGCGTAGAGTTCTTGAAGGGAGGTAGGAGACAGTCAGATCACTCAGATAGGCAGGTCCAGTACCATGGACAGCTTGGTAAGTGTGTGATAGTATTTTGAAAATGATTCGCTCAGGAATGCGAAGCCAGTGAAGCGAGTTTAGTACTTGTGTGATGTGTGCCTTTATGTTCGTCCGAGTGACCAATCTGGCAGCATAGTTTTAGATGTGCTGCAGATTTGTTTGTTGTTTGGTGATTCCATAGAGCAAACTGTTGCAAAAGTCTAATCGAGAGAATATCAGAGATCTCACGAGGGAGGCAGCTGCGTCTCTCGTCAGCAAATGTCTGATGGCACTGATGTTCCTCAGGTGGTAATGACTGACCTTGCAGCAGTGGCTCACGTGATCTTCCATGGATAGTGAGGAGTCA